GCTTTAAATTCATAGATATAAAAATAGGCTAATATGGGCAATCATCACTTCATATGCAGGTGCTCTTTGTTTACTACATATCAAATTCCAGGGATAATTTGCCAATCAACTAATATGGAATAATGTGGGACATGATTGCATTATTATGCTGAGCTCTACGGGAATAGTACAACCATGCTGGGTTTGCTTTTGATGCTCTATGTGTACACAGATTGCTCAATTAGGAAGGTCTTTTGTGTAGAATGTATTGGAAATTAAAGATTAGATTACACCTCATTCCTTATTTGGCTAGTCTCTCAAAAAAAAAGGAGGAATGAAAGAAGAAAGAAAAGAAAAGAAAAGAAAAGAAAAGAAAAGAAAAGAAAAGAAAAGAAAAGAAAAGAAAAGAAAAGAAAAGAAAAGAAAAGAAATGAAAAGAAAAGAAAGAAAATCCTGGAAAAGAATAAGTCAATAAAATGATTTGAATTAAAATCTCCTCCTTCCTCAAATATATACATACATATACATATAATAGGATCATTGATTTAGAATTGAAATGGACATTTAATCCTGTTACTTAATTTTAGAGATATAGAAAAAAAAGGCCCCCCCAATGGTTAACTGACTCACCTGAGATTTCACAAGACATATAATGACAAAGTCACGTTTCTAACTCAGTTCCTATAACTCCCAAATTCATTGTTCTTTCCAGGAGTCAAGAACAGGGGGCAGCTAGGTGGTGTAGTAGATAGATAACTGGTCCTGGAGTCAGGAGGACCTGAGTTCAAATCCGGCCTCAAACACATAACATTTACTAGCTGTGTGACCCTGGGGAAGTCACTTAACCCCATTGCCCCTCAAAAAAAAAAAAGAGTCAAGAACAAAAGCCAAGCTGGGAAACATATTCACTTGCATTACCATCTCATAGATGATACATGGTTTTAGGAAATAGCTGAAATAAAAAATGTAAAGTGTGTCCAATGTCCTGTATGAAGTTTACTTATTAAGCTAAACAAGAACAAAAATCTAGATTTGGCAGAAATAAATGTTCCTGCAAAAAAACAAAAGGAATGGGACAGATTCTCACAGTGAGACAGATCAGCTGGCTGCACACAGTCCCTGGTTATCAAGTCTTCCTTTATGCTCTTCCTTTATGCAAATGCCTTAGACAGAGATACTTCCATTAATTGCACATCTCTATGTTATATATCATTTTCTTTTTCATTTCTGTGTAATTTTCCTTTTTGTGACAACATAGTGGTAGATGTCAGGTCCAAATCCGAATTGCTATTTTTTTTTCCTCTTAAGGATTCATTATGCCTGCAATCACTAATGACTCTAAATGAAAATACAAACACTGCCAGCCTGCCTGTATTCTTGGGAATGGGGTCCAATTACCAGAAAACCATCCAAATACCCAATTTGTGATTAGTCATAAGGGGACCACAAAAAAGCCATGTTTAGCTTAGAAATCTCCAGAGACAAACAAAAAGCTCATTTTCCCCATAAGAGCACAGCACTTTTGTCTCCCCTGAGGAAATAAAAGCAGAGCTCTGAAGACTTAAAATCAACTTTTCAGAGAAGTAGTTGGAAATATAAAACCCAATGGTGGCTGGCAAGCTCTTTCTCATGGAACCTTCAAGGCTATGGTTGTGGGTTGCAGGGTCTAACTGGGAAAAAACAAAACAAAACAAAATACAATTGTGAGCTAGAGAGAATTTGTTTCTGATGTCATTTCAGATTCTTCCTGATCTTTGTAGCAGCCTGGTCTTCTCCTATTTCCACCATATACTTGCCCTGTAGTGTATCATTGTCAATTCCTGTTGCAGGATCAATAGAAAAAAAAATGGCATCTTATAAATATGAATTATAGTGCAATATAACCATAAATTTATTAACAAAAATATTTTATTGGCTACTTAAAAGCCCCTAGGGTAGTTATTTCAGGCATGTCGATGCCTGTTTTAAAAATGTAAAAAAACAGTGGATCATGGACTTGGAGCTTAAAGGACCTTAGAGGTAATCAACTCATCTAAGAAAGGAGGAAATTGAGGCCCAGAGAAGTTAATGGCTTGCTCAAGGTGACAGAGCTAACAAGTGAATAAGGCAGAATTTGAACTCAGGTCTTTCTGATCCCAAGTCCAATGCTCTATCCATTATTCCAGCTAGATATTCAGTAATTTTCTCATGGCCTTAAAGTTACTAAAGTGAACAGCTTGGATTTGAGCCCGATACCAAATATGATATTCTTTCCTTTGTCCAACTTAATGGCAAGAGAGTTATTTGCAAGTGAATTGTTGTTCAGTTATTTCCAAATCTATGTGACCCTGTGGATCAAATTCCATGGGGTTTTTCTTGGCAATGATACTGGAGTGGTTTGCCATTTCCTCCTCCAGTGTGTCCCCATTTTTATTGATGAGGAACTGAAACAATTAGAAGTTAAGTGACTCGCCCAGGGTGACACATTTAGTAAATATCTGAGGCCAGATTTAAACTCAGATCTTCCTGACTGCAAGCCCAGTGCTCCATCTAGAAGTTCCCTTGCAGATCAATATGGAATTCAAATACTAAAAGGTCTCTAATAATAATAATAATAATAATAATAATAATAAAGTTATAATTGTGAAATACTAGGAATCTGGGGTAGAGATGGAGTGATATTGAAGAGAGAGGATGCTGAGAAAGCCTTCTCTTCTCAAAAATCATGTTCTTTCCCAAGGTCCCAGGGAGACCAGTTTACTAGAAGCCTGAATCTTGAGAATGTTCCCTGTGGGTTTCCACAATGTCCCTCATTTGATAAGCGCAGCTAGGTCAGCAGGTTGCCTCTCCATAAGCAGCTGCCAGCCTCAGAGGAGAGGGCCTTCTCTGCTTTACCCTGTTCTAATGTCTGTCTAGGAAGAAAATACATGAAGACATAGTGTATTAAAGCGTGATGCCTCCCTCCTAAATTATGAAGGACTAAGAGAGGAATCATTAGGCATGGGAAGGGATATCAAAGCTGGCTCCTTCCCCACCCCCCGCCACCTTTTTTGTAAACTATGTTTCTTTTATATTTACAAAACCTTAAATAAGTGAGTCAATATTTAGACAGATGAATGGATGGACAGATAGGTAGATAGACAGACAGACAGATAGATAGATGGATAGACAGATGGATAGACAGACAGATAGATAGATAAAAATCATAATCCTAAGCTCTCTCTGCTTGAATCCTTTCCTGATAACAAAGTGGGAAATATGGGAGACCTTTTTAATGTATGTTGAAGTGAATTAAAGTTTTAGCAGAGCCAGTATTCTATGACATATATTCCAATGGATTTGTAATCTTACTGACTAGGGTATTCTCTCCTGTGATTTAGATTACTGCTCCTTCATGCTGGTCTACAATTTGTGCCTCTTCTTCATACATACCCTTCCCTAAATTTGCTGCAGGGTATATATTTTATGTTCTGGGAGCCTTCCTGACACACTCTTCACATTGTTTGAATACCAGTGTCACATGCGGCACACATTTTAGATGCATTTCAATCTGTATAGGTGAAAGCAATATTCACATGGGAGTTCCTCAAACCAACAGAATCACAGGTACAAGTTTTTTTTTTTTAATGACGTAACTAAATGGTAATGAGACATTATATTCTGAGCGCCCAATATAGGTTTCAAATGCCTCCCCAAGAGGATACTCATACTCTTAGAACAATAAAAATTTCATGGCAAATAAATGTAATCAAAATGAGTCCTTATCAACTGGAGAATGCTTGAACAAATTATAGCATATGAATGTAATAGATTACTAATGATCCTTAAGATATGAAAGCTATGAGGAAATCAGACAAACATGCAAAGTTTTATGTCAATTGATGCAGAAAAAAGAAAGCAGAATCATGAGAATAAGGTGTATAACATGTAAAACCCTGAAAATTAAAATGCTACGAAGCAGCCAAACTCAGATGATACGTAATGACTTTATCCAAGAAAACAGGTAATCAAACATTCATTTAGCACACAAGTGAGGGACTGGGCTAACAGATTATTGCACATGTTTTCAAATGAAGTGATTTCATTTACTTGTTTTGCCTGAATGGTATTCTTTGTAACAAGTTAGGGCTCAGTGAAGGTGGGGGAATACAGTGGGAAATTACTATGATGCAAAAAACCCCATGAAATTATTAAAAAAAACCACACCATTTATGCTAGAAATAATATATTAACTCCTAACGTTCAGAGTTCAAAAGTGAATGTCTTAATTGAAATAATTCTTGGGCCTTTAAAGTTCAACCAAACCCAATCTAAGCAATTATTTAGTATATATGAAACACTCTAGCAAGTTCTACAGATACAAAAACACAATAAGACACTGGCCCTTCCTTCATGGAGCTAACTTTCTATAGAAAGTAGATAACATTTAAATACATAATTATATACAGAATAAATTGAAGAGGAGGGATTGAGCATTAAGACCTAGGGGGATCAGGAAAGAACATCGGAGATAACACTTGAAGTAAACCGTGAAAGGTGTTAGAGTCCTATCCCATCCAACTCCCATAAGAGAAATAAACACTGGGTCTCAGTTTAAATGGCGGCATGGCAGTGGTAGTAATACTAACACTAATAGCAGCAGCAGTAGCATTAGTAGCAATAGTACTCAAAGTAGTGGTAATGGTAGTGGTAAGGGTGGCAGTAGGGATAGTGGTGCAGAAAGTAGTAGTGGTAATAGGGCTGGTGGTGGTAGTGGTAGAGGCACTAGTAGTAGTAGTAATAGTAGAAGTAGTAGTAGTAGTAAGAGTAGTAGTACTAGAAGTAATAGTAGTAGTAGTAGTTGTAGTAGTAGTAGTAGTAGTAGATGATTAGTAATAGCAGCAGCATTTATAATACAACTGGGCCTAATCATGGCTGTTCCTGGTAAGTTATACTTGAATAACTCTATGGTAAGTCTGTTAACAAAGGTTCCATAGCAACTTTGTAATGAATTACTATTTCCCAGCCCTCAAGAACAGGGAGAAAACAAGAAACACACTCACTGTAGCCTGCTGCTTTTCTGCTTTCTCAGCTGCCTCATTAAGTTGCTTTTGAAAGGCCTCCTGGAGAGACTTCATTTCTTCCCTAGTTTAGTACAAGGAAAAAAAAAACACATAATACAATTTCTTCAGTCCCTTCTGCCCACGAGGAAAGAGGTTGTTTGTTTACTTGTGTTTAGAAAATAGACAACTTGAACTGAGTAGGGACAACCTGAAGCAGTCAGCCTCTATCTAAGGGTTGCCTTAATAAAGGTCTTTGTCTTTGGATGCAGATGTAAAAAGTAAATTGAATTTAAAAGAAATTGCCTTGCCATTATGTCTAGCAAAGGATCCCACTGCGTAAAACATCTGTGAACTGCATCATGGGTAGCAAATCAAATTAATATAATAATATGAACCAGCAAGCTAATTCCACTAAAAAAATATGGAAGAGTGGGAACCCACCAGTTATAAAAAATTACTCCAGGTTTTCTGAGTGTGCATATTTCCAACTTCCTTCCATACCTCCTAAATCATGGCTTCTCCTTGCTTCATGTCATCACGCTATCCGCAATGCTTCAGAGGTCGGAACTTTTCTGAAGTGTGTTTCAGTGGAAAGTTGTGGTTAGGACTAATGGATAGCCTCATTGTTTTGAAATAAAAATTAAAAAAAAAACCATGCACACACATTCTCTCTGTCTCTGTCTCTGTCTCTCTTTCTTCATGAATAATACTTAATATGAACCCCTCTTTAACCAGTGGAAATGCAAAGATTCTCAAAAATGTCAATGGCCCTTTTTGAACTTATCCATCTGTCACATGACATTTAAAAAAAATGATTTCTTATGCTTTTTTTCCTAGGCTGTTTAAATCTTCTTGGTTTCCTATTTAATCACCTAAGCCATATTTATATGATCCAGGTCTAATTATCACTGTACAAATTGTAAAAATTATTGTGGAAGTAATTTTTCTAGACTCCGCCCCTCCCATACACACTTCTATTAGCCACCAAAACAGCTCAAATATAGAAGTCTCTAGCTCAGAGACACCTGAGAGATCTTTTCTAATTGCCTCACTTTACAGGTGAGAAAAATGAGGGTCAGAGAGGGAGAGGGATTTGCTCAAAGTAATAAACCTAGTCAGGAGAATGAAGATGAGAAATCAGAAATTTCTCTCAATGCTAGTTCCACAAACCATTCTGGTATTCTAGTAATCAAAAAGGGTTAATATACATATCAAGTGATTTTCAAATGTAAGAGACACACATAGGGGCTAAGTAATTGTTAAGGAAGCATTATATGTGTGACTAGGGTTCTGGAGGTTCCCTTCAGCCTATATTTCTTCACCTCACTCCGAGGAGACTGGAGGCAGTTATTCTTTCCACCTCACCAATATATCCATCTTATTTCCAACAATTAAATGTTTCCTCCTCACTAGTTATGATTTGTGTCCTGTGGAACGGAAAGCTGTATCCTTAAGTGTATCTCCTCCGGTCCCCAGCATTGGATAGGAGAGAATCAAACTCCCAGAATTTTCCAGCCTGGCAGATACGAATGTCAAAGTCTTTAGATGGTGCCTTCCCACTCTGAATGGGACTGTTCTATCATATTTCTGAAATGCTTGACTCCATTTGCCCCTCAAATGAACCTAAAATAGTGTTGACCTTTTGCTCTTATTCCAATAGAATATAAGCTTCAGAGCAGGGATTTTTATTTTAATATTTGTATTTCTACTTCTTTATACCATAGCTGGCACCAGAAGGTATTTAATAAAAGTTTGTTAAGTGGGATTGACTTGGTTAAAAAAAATGAATTATTGTTGAAGTGTGGTGTCACATGTAGTAGGAAGAAAACTAAAGTCAAAATCAGAAGCCCACCTGGATTGAAATTCTTTGTCTGGCTCTCGGCATGTCATCCGGAGCAAGATACAACTTTGAAATTTCAGTTTTCTCATCCATAAAATGGGGGTGGTAACACCTATACTACTGATCTTATAGGGATCAAAGGAGATAATATTTGCATAAAGTACTTAACAGAGCCTGGCATATAGTAGGTACTATATAAATGCTTATGACCTCCCCCACCAATGTAGAGAAAGTACATCGTCAGTCTTACAGGGTCAAAGAATGGTGAGTTTCTATTATATTTGAAGGTGGCAATCATTTCTGTACTTATGACTAGGAGCAGTGAACAATAAAACACAGTAAATTATAGAGTAGGTAAAACGTCTGGGACACTAGCGAGCTAGGTGACCTTGGATTAGTCATTTAACCACTTTGGTTTTCTGCTTCCTCATCTTCAAAATGAAAAGAATAGAGGCAGTTAGGTGGTACAGTGGATAGAGCTCCAGCCTTGGAGTCAGGAGGACCAGAGTTCAAATCCAGCCTCAGACACTTGACACTTACTACCTTGAGCAAGACACAATCCCGATTGCCTCACCTAAGGCAAAAAAATTAAAATAAAAAATAAACAAAATGAAAAGAATATCTGTACTCTCTATAGCACAAGGTAACTAAGGAAAGTCTTTTCTAAAAGATTAAAAGCATTATGCAAATTAATGAAATGCATATGGTGATGATGATGACGGTGAGGATGATGATGACAAAAATCAATTACTCTTTTGGTAAAACACCTAACAAGAATGCTCTGGCTTTGAACCTCTATATACCTGTTAAATACTTATGACAATCAACTTGTGGCCCCTCAAACACCACTTACAAACCAGTTCCATTCATCAGTTCAATTTTACGTATGACTGTCTAAAATTTGAATTACTAGTGCTTTTACTGAATCAGTAGGTGATTCACAATCATTTTATTAACTCCAGGACTGATTTCCATGACCATAGATGTAAGCTGAAAGGGGTCTCAGAAGCTTTCTAATCCAACCCCTTCATTTTACAGATGAGAAAACTGAGGCTGAGAGAAGTTAAATGAATTATCTAAGGTTGCATATATAGTAAGCCTTACAGCCAGGTCTTTTGACTATAGAGAAAATGCTGGTTTTACTGAAATAAATGAAAACTTCTAGGGCATCAGTAGAAAACTTATTCCTTAGAAATACTGTATTATTTGGAATTTTTGAAATATGTGTTTTATTTCATCTTTTTTTTTTATTTCTTGCATCCCCTGGGAAATGGTACTTTAAGTGATGTTTTCTCACAATTGAGTTGTCAACAAGATAAGATGTTACTTAGTGACTTGGGAGAAGAAAACAGGCATAAACAATTTACCAAATTCCCACCAGACTCATTCATGTTAATACATGTTACATTTACTGCTTTTTTATTTTGTTTTGGTTACTTTTCAAATAGTAGAGAAAATGCCCTCTTCATAGTTTCCTAACCAAACCCCATGTGTTCCTGCTCATTACAGCTCCTGGAAGTAAGCCCAAGGAACAGGATGTCTACAGAATCTATAAAAGAGATATAGCAAAGGTAGATTATACTCCCTGCTTCCATTACAATTAGAAGCAACAGGGCCTCCCTTGGTTGAACCATAAGAGTTGGGGGCTGATCTTCTGCATCCCTTCCCTTCTATTAAGGATCTTATATCAAACCCACTTCTATGGAGTTTTCCCTCCCTATGCCCCAAGGTGCTTGGGATTAGAGTGTGATAGAGCCAATCATATATATATAATCCTGAGAGCCAGTTCTTAAATTTTCATTGTGAATGCTTAAACCCAGGAAATGGTCTAAAGCTAAAAATCAGGGCTTACTTCATTGTTTCCTGTGATTTAAGAAAGTGATGGAGAAAATAATAATGCAGATGAAACTGAAAATTAGGTCATTTGGGCTAATTTTTTTTTGAGAGCTGATTGTTAAAATTTACCAGCACACAGCTGCAGAGGTGCTCAGGTCTTTCATGCTGGATTAGCTGTCTTCTGCTGAAGCCAGCATTCTAGTCCTAGCTTGATCTAGATCCCATATGGGGTTATGACTCATAGTTTAAGAAGTGCTAAAGGGGTCTTGAGTAGAAAAAGTTTAAGAAGTCCTGATCTAGAACACTGGGAATTCACTGGATGGGAAGGTATATTTAAAGAGGGAGAAGAAGAGGCAGTGTCCAGAATATGGCATTATGGATGGATGCATAGTTGGATGGATGGGAGGGGTGATGGTATGTATAGAAGGGATGGGACTGAGTCAGATTTCTGGTAATGCACTTAAAACACATTTTGGTCAAGTTCATCAACCAGAATTTTGGTTTGTTTTTCATCAGTATAGGTTAAGCCTGATGGGGAAACCATGTCTATCTATGCAGACAAACACCTGCTCTGTAACTGAGAGTCAGAGAAAACTGCCTGGGGGACTGAGTGGCTGAGTGATGCTCTGGGGAGGAGGGTTCAGATGGGGGACTTAAACACATATGGTTCTTTCTGACTTCAAAGCCAGCTTTTTATCCACTGTGGCTCTAGTGATGAATGCTGATGGACTGCTGTAAATTAAAGAGCGCCGTGTATGAGCAAAAGGAGGAAGGGGATTTTGCCTGATGATGGTAGCATCCAAAAGTGAGTTTAAATTCTGAATTGTCTAATCCTAGTTCCTTCTGGAGGTAGCCCAAGTTCCTCACTGGCCTCAACATATTTATATAAAATTTCATCTTATATACCTTTTTTCTCAGCGGTACATGGCACATACACAAAAATTGACCATGTACTAGGGCATAAAAACCTCACAATCAAATGCAGAAAGGCAGAAATATTAAATGCATCCTTTTCAGATTATGACACAATAAAAATTATATGTAATAAAGGGCCATGGAAAGATAGATTAAAAATAACTGGAACCTAATAATCTAATCCTAAAAAATAAATGGGTCAAACACTAAATTAGAGAAATAAATTTTCATCTTAGTTGTGATCACTTAAACTCTAGTAAAAGCATTATGTTAATTAACAGTACACAAATAGCAAGTATATTATGGATAATTCTGATTAAATCGTCAGAGCTACAACTAGCAATTTTAATACCTTCGGGACGTAGTCAAGAGCTAGGACCCCAGAAATTTATAGACAAGGCCCTACTTGGAGAATAATCCTTTGGCCCTTTAACTTCCTCAAATCTTGCAGCTTCTAGGGCCCTTCTTACCTAATTGTCTTGTGTTTATTTTGAATAAACGAATGTAGGTATGTATCTATCCATGTATATATAATCTGCATATACATATGTACATAACATGTATATAATCATCTATGATATGTATATATGTATAATATATTGCATATATATAATATATTGGATATACATGCATATAATAATATATTATAAATTGATTGCATATATAATGATATATTGCACATAATAATATATACAGCATATATGTCATGTCTACAATGTACCCTTAGCAAGAATATAAGCACTTTAAGAAAGTATTTAATTTAAAAAAAAATCTTTTTATCCCCATCACCCAATACAACATATAGCACAGACTAGGGGCTTATACAAGTCCAGCTTCATTGACTGAGTCAGAGATGTCAGGACAGTAACATCAGCCTGGGTGGTAGGAGACTATGAGGCTGATTCTGGATTCCGGGGTAACTACTAGCATGGAAGGACACAGGACAGAGTCCATCACAAAGCCAGAACAGGACAGAGCTCAATTGGGATACAGTGAATACGAATGGGAAGCTTCTATCAGAAAGCTTTGAATTTTAATGAACTGTTCTTATGAACAAGGTATTAAGTTCATTTCTTTGAGTGAAAAATTTTAAGTGTTGTAGGTGCTTTCTCCATCTTGGTACCTTGGTGCAAAGTCTCAGTCTGTCCTAGATGTGGCTGATGTTGCATGGTTAGGATGAGATAAATTAATACCTTTTCCCTTCTCAATCATGAATTTGCTATCAAGCATTCTGAGAGTCTCTAGTTTGGATGACTTGAGATATAACCTTCTATTCTCCAAGCCCTGTTGAAAAGATTTCACATCTAACTTGTGTTCACAAGTTTAAGGTATTAAACAACATAAGAGTGGGGCAGGGAAGGAACCCACCAAAATTCTACCACAGAATGTTCGCTCTAGAGATGTTGCCTGTAATAACAAGTTCTCCTCCCCATGGATAATTTGGAGTACGATTAAGTACAGTGTGCTTTGAGAAACCCATTGTCATGTTCACCTCTTAGTGTAGCCATTTATCAGGGTCTCTTTAACTAAAATGCTATGGAGTTGCTTTTAAAATGTATTAATTGATGGGGTTGAACCACCTTCAATAACTTTAATAGACTCTGTACAATCTAAATGCTTATCTCTAGTTAATCTTGCCAAGTTCTAGCTGCTAAATGAAGGATGACATCTATCAGGTAACCTTCAAATGTAGCTGAAACAAAACAGCCTCTTCCATCCCCGACTGTCACTGTTGATGGAGTCTCTATTTAACGGCCTCTTTTTACCTAGGCAACTCAAACCTCAGCACAATGGATTGGCACAGTTTCAGAGTTGGGCTATTAGAAGAGAATGACCAAAAGAGGAAAACAAGACAAAGCAAAATAAAGGGGGGGTGGGGAGTCTTACCTTTGTTTTTTGCCTAATTCCAGAAGTTTCTGAACATCACTCTTGGCTGGTGCGTCATCGTTTTTCAAAGACTGGTGAGAAAAAGCAAAGAAAAGGGTGGGGGAAGATCTTATCAGTGTTACTGGGCTATGAAATGATGATCGGAGACTCCTTTGATTCTTCTTTCCATAGAACGACAAATTTTGCCACCGATAGACAGGAACACTTAATAAATAGCATGGCATTCCAATGAAAGATTCTAATGAAATTGTGCTGGCTTTGAATGGTTTTAAGGGCATATCAAAAAAACAAGCAGTTAGGTGGCTTGGAGACAGGTGATGCAGTAGATAGAGTGCTGGGCCTGCAGTCAGGAAGACTTATCTTCATAAGTTCAAATGTGGCCTCAGAAACTCACTAACTGTGTGATCCTGGGCAAGTCACTTTCCACTGTTTGCCTTAGTTTCCTCATCTGTAAAATGAGCTGGTAAAGGAAATGGAAAACCATTCCAGTGTCTTTGCAAAGAAAATCCCCAGTGGAGTCATGAAGAATTGGATATGATTGAAAAATGACTGAACAACAAAAACAATAAAGTAAGGAGAAAGAGTTCCAAACTGGAGTGCCCAAATGGAACAAATAAAAGGATAATTTTTGTAGGTTCAATGGAAACAGAGGGCGCTGCCCAAAACTTCAGGTCTCTCCACGTAAAGAACACAAAGTACCATCCCTTTCTTCTGTTTCTGGGCTGTCACTTTGTTAACAACCTTCAGCATATATACCCTGTTTGCCTTGCAAGAGCGGAGAGGGCAAGGAAGGGAAGGACCACAAGCAGTGTCCTAGAAAACCAATGTCCTGAAATTGAAGGAGCCAAGGAGCAAGAGAATGTTGGCCCTTTAAGATCATTATTCACCTCAATGAATCAAGGAATATAAAACCCTAAGAACCCAAACTCCACAAAGAGGACTGTGTAATACAGGAAAAAATATTTTAATACTGCAAAGACAGATGCAGGCTGTCCCCAGTTATCTGGGGTTCCAACAAAGTCACTTATCTAGCAAACTCAACTGCTTTGTTAAACTTCTTTTGAATTTGTGATTTATATTCCATCTGTTTCTAAACAGGATTCGAGGCAGCAAACTCATGCATCTGGAACACAAGCAAACACCGATAAATAAATAAAAATGCCTATGAGATTTCACCATAGATAGGGCACAATTCATATACTGAACATAAACTTGAAGAAGTCCAGAGATCCTCATTTTGAGCCCATTTACTCTTAATTTTGAAATTATTCTAACAAGCTTGCAAGTAGCACAGTATGGAGCATTGAATTAGAGGGTGAGGAGCTTGGTTCATATCCCAGCTCTGGCACTTATTACATGACCTTGAACAATCCATTTATTCACTTCACACCTTTTGGATTTACTTTCTTCTTCTATAAAGTGTGGTGGGAGGAACATTTTAATTTAAGTGTTACTGAAGTCTCTTTCACCTCTTCATCATTAATTCTATGAATTTTTATCCCTCTAAGGAGGGGAAGCAATATATTCAAAGTTGGGAAGACAAGACTTACTTACAGAAGGCACACTGCCTAAGAGGAGAAGTGATAGCTAAGCTCCTTTCAGGATGGAAAGAGATTAAAAAAAAAGAAAAAGAAAAGAAAAAACTATAAAAACAGATAAAGAATTTTAAAAAATCTACAATATGTTAGGGCTGAATGAAGCAGAGTTCAATGCATCTCATGGGTTCCTAAGTGCATTCTGGATCATAGATTCTAATATTTTAAAGTAAGAAGTAGCCTTAGAGGTAAATTAGGCTAATCCCTTTCATCCTTAAATTACAGCACAATGCAACAATTGATGTTCAAAATGACAGTCTCTATCTAGGAGAAGTCTTGGGCCGGATCAATTCTTTCCTGTGACAAGGAGATATGTTGTTGCTGTCTGGTTGTTTCAGTCATGACCAACTCTTCTTGACCCTGTTTGAGATTTTCTTGGAAAAGATAGTGGAGTGGTTTGCCATAACCTTCTCCAGCTCATTTTACAGATGAGGAAACTGGCAAACAAGGTTAAGTGATTTGCCCAAGGTCATACAACTAGTAAGTGTCTGAGGTCAGATTTGAGCTCTGGAATATCAGTCTTCCTGATTCCAGGCTGTTCACTCTATCCACTGTGTCACCAACCTGCCCCATAAGAGGATATGGTGAATTATATTATTCAATATCATGGAAGACCATCTTCATTTCAGAGTTCCTGTGTCCATACTCCACTGGACTTTCATTTTCCCTCTAATTGCTTTTAGTGTTCCCATTATCCCATGCAACTCCTCTCAGCCCCAATCTAGTCTTCTATTCCAGGAACCTTTCCCCACTCTCCAATTCTTCTAATGCCTCCCTGCCCCAACCAATCAAAATTTCCTATGGTGAATTCCATTCCATCTAGTCCTTGGTCTCTGTATAGCTAGTCTGATGTTTTAATTTTTTCTGTGGTATTAATGGCAGGTTGTAGTTTATGCAACACATCGATTGGTTTTCCATTTTTGTTTTTCTTTTTATTATTTTTAATCCAGAGTGCCTACACACCTATTAAGAAGTAATTAATAAATATTCTCTGAATTGAATTATATTTCCTCTCATAAAACAGAATGGTCTAGTAGAAGAAAATCAACAAACCAACAAATTTTGGATAGAATATCTAAAGTCCTAAGGCCTAGTCCAGTTCTGCTATGAACTTACTACATGAATTTGAGTAAATTATTTAATTCACTCAAGATATCTATTTCCTCATTTGAAAAAAGAGGACATTGAACTAAAAGACATCTTAATTTCCTTCAGCTTTAAGTTTTTTGTTTTCTGGGGGTTTTTTTGTTTGTTTGTTTTTGGTGAGGCAGTTAGCATTAAGTGACTTGCCCAGAGTCATACAGCTAGTGAGTGTTACATGTCTGAGGCTGGATTCCAGGGCTGGTGCTCTATCCATTGCACCATGTAGCTGCCCACAACTTTAAGTTCTTGATCAATACCAAAACCACAAACAAAAATACCCTATAACACCTAGGTAGGCAATGAAATTTTGGGAGGAAATCAAAGCCTAGCATCTTGGACCCAACTCTCCCTATGACATTTTTTAAAGGCCTGATGGAAGAAACCACAGCCCTTTGTTCTTGCCTCTTCTCAAGCATAAACTCATTTTTGACTTAAAGGATAGGGGAGAGGTCATGGGGCAAGTTCCTCTACACTCCCCCCTCATACAGCAGGCATGGCGCATTACATTCCTGCAGCTGTTGCACAAAGTCTTCTTCTGATCAGAATCCTCAACAGAATCTTTATCAAATACTCTCAAGACACAAAGGATGGTTTCATAGGAGTAATTCTCCTCTTTCAGCCTTTGCCTGATTCAGGGTTTGTCAGAAAATGTTCAGACCCTGGGCCGGTGGGAATTTAAAATGTTCTCTTTTAGATAACTCCTGTATTCGTTTTCCCTGCTGCTCATTATTGCTTTTCATTATTTTCAATAGGAAAAACAATGGAGTCAAATTTGTCTTGGGAGCTGTGAGGGACTGATGGCTTTGCAAATCACAAAATTTTCTCATTCTATCCATTTGCAAACTGCAAATTCCCAGACAGCCTGTTCAAATGGTATTTCCTTGCAAACCTCATATCCTAACACATAACATTTTGTTATATTTAAGGACAGGGTCTTTTTTCAATGATGCCCAAAATTCAAATAAATTTGATTCCACAAATGTTTATTAAATTACCTACTATGTGTTAAAACATACTACGTGCAGGGCACTGGTCTAGACACTGGGGATGCAAAACCAAAGAAAAACAAAGCAAAAAGTATCTATCTATGTTGTTATCAGAATGAATAGCAGCTAATTTGGTGAATGGCCTGCAGCCACTGGGGACGTGAATATTAATCTCACCTGAAGGTTTACTTTAATTCCATCAAGTTCCCTGGAAGTCTTTGACAGCTGTCGGAGGATATTGCTTCTTTCCTTGAAGACTTCCTTCAGTTGCTTCTCCAGCTCTTCATAGCCCTGTCTAACACAGAGAGAGCAGGCATGAAGTCTCCTCACAATCCCACCTGCCCCAGTGCATTGGGGCTGATTTGGAATCCAAGGCTGGATTCCGACACATTTTTCATCACTCCCCAGTGAAGCATCTAACTTCACCTGCATTAGGTAATTATTGTGTCAGTAAAATCTGTACTAATCTGAAATACAATCTAGAATCCTCATTAAAACAAAAAACAAAAACAAAAAACAGCTGGGTCTTTTCTGATACACTAACAGGAGATTTAGAGGTCATCTGCTCTCACCGCTATATTTTTCAAATGTGGAAACTGAGGCTGAAAGGGGTGAGCTGATTCTATTCAATGTCACAATGGGTTCCAAACACAGTTCCTCTGAAGCTAAAACCTTTACTCTTAAAGGCAGTGAGGTGTGGTGGGCAGAGCTCTGGAACTGACAATGGAAAGAGTCCTGTATTCAAGTCCTATATTTAAATGAAGATGAAAAGCTTTGTGATCTCCCTTAAGTCAATTAATGCCTCTGAAGCTTAAGGAATTCTGGGGTGGAGGGCAGGGTGAGGGGAAGGAGGTTAAAGGGGGGAGGAACTCCCCCCTCCAGGCCACGTGTGGCCTTCTAGATCCTCCCGTGTGGCTTTCTAGGTTCTTGGGTGTGACATTTTGACTGAGTCCAAGTTTTACAGAACAAATCCCTTTAAAGGGATTTGTTCTGTGTAGTTTGGGTTCAGTCAAAGGGCTACACTTGAGGAACTAGAAGGCCACATGTGGCCTCAAGCCACCCCTGCTTGAGGTTCCCTACCCCTGCTAAGCCTATAAGTGACAGTTGCTTTCAATCTGCCTGCTAGAGGTGTTTCTCCCAATTATGAAACAGCAAGTGTTTGATTCATAGTTAATATACTTTCTACAGCCTACTCTCCTTCTTCCTCCACCCTGGGAAAAGAAAATTAAAAAAAAACAGTTCATAGCTAAGATTTACTTATTTATTTATTCATTTATTCATTCATAGTTATTAATGACTTTGTTCATTCTTTTATTTTTTATTTATTGTAATTTTTATTTATTTTTTGATTTTTTAATTTTAATTTTAATTTTTTTTTTCAGAGAGGCAATATGGCATAATGGATGGAGAGTTAGCCTTGAACCTGGAAGACCTTAATCTTTCAATGCTCTTAGGGCAGTGGTTTTAAACTCAAATAGAAATGGGAGGGAGGGGTATTAAACTATACATAGTGATCCAGTTATTATTATCTATGTTCTATTGTATTTGGGGGTGATGCAATATATAGTGTGCTAGGCCTGCAGTCAGAAGTCTCATCTCTCTCAGTTCAAATACAGCCTCTGACACTACCTGTGTGACCCTGGTCAAATCACCTAATCTTGTTTGCCTCAGTTTCCTCATCTGTAAAATAAGCTGGAGAAGGAAATGAAAACCCATTCCAGTATCTTTGCCAAGAAAACACCAAATGTGGTCACAAAGAGTCAGACAGGACTCAAAAACAACTGAATAATCTTATTTTTATTTATTTTGTTTAATATTTCCTAATCATACTTTTAATCTGGTTCAAGCATCACTCTGGCATGTTGTGCCCCACCTCCCTAGGGAGATATACTTGACTCCTGTGCTCTAGGCAGCTAAAACTATGTTTCAGAGAAGATGCCGTCCGCCTTTGGTAAGAGGATGTTTCCTCACCTCAAAATGCTCTATCCCAATCAAATCATAGGACAAATCCCTAACCACTTTTCCAACTAAATTTCAATTGTATGTGCCATCCTAAGTATACATTTTGTTTCATTTTCTGCATCTTTTCCATCTGCGGCACCTTCAGACAGACCCTGATCCTTTGAATCGTCTGCCCATTCAAACACGTTGCTTCTGTTCATCTATGTGAGGGTCTCACAGACAGAGAGTGTTATTTGCCTATTCAATCCTTTCCCTGGGAGGAAAAAAAAATCATACTTGAATAAATCTGAATAGTATGAGTAATTACAAAGTTTGAGTAGTCTTTGAGCTAGACCAAAGAAAAGTAAAGGTGTTTTTCCCACATGCAACATCTTTAGGATTATTAGCAAGTGGCTTCTGCCCTGAATGAGTTTCTTTGATGATTCCTTCTTTCCCCATTTTTTATGCAGAAGGATGTGAAAGCCTTCTGCCCTTATTCTCTCTCTTTCTTTGTGGTGAATGAGGATAGTTTCCTACAAAGGACAATAGCACTTCTATCTGACCTTGTAATTTACCCTGCCAAACAGTGCATTAGCTGGCAATCAGACTGTTATTAATGTTCCCTGGTTTCCTCTTATTCTTACTGGCAGAACCATGGAAGCAAAGGAAAGGTTCAGAATTGTGAGTTTTCTCCTTTTCTCTCCTTTTTCTTTTAACTATTCCACTTTCGTGCATGCCTTCTTGTCCCATAAGTATATATTTTACACAGACACACAGACACACAGACACACAGACACACACACACACACACACACACACACACACACACACACCCCGCTTTAATATAGGCATGAGAGTTGGTGGCAGAGTTGGGAAGACTTAGGTTCAAATCCTCCCTTTTATCTTAGTTTTACCACCTTGGGTAAACTATTTAACTTTACACTGAATCCCCACTCCAAATGTCCATGTGGAATATTTGTGCCTGACCCATCGCAGAGCCTTCTGAGCTATATTTGTCTGATCAGTCAGAGCCAGACACACTGTACCTTGACTCCGACATGGTGATGTCATTTTGGTCCTCTTCAAGAACAAAGGAAAACAACCAACCAACAATGAATCAAGAGGTCTATTCTGTGAAAGCATTGAAGCTACAGAGGTAAAAATGAAGCCATTTCTATCTTCAAGGAACTTACATTCTCAGTGCTCCTGTGAATTTTCTTAGACTATAAATATTGTAATAAGTGTAGTCCTCTGTTGGTAGAGGGGCTTTACTCACTGGGAGCTTCGTAAATCAATCAATCAATATTAATCAATCAATCAGCATTTAGTAAGCATCTGATGTTCCAGACACAGTGCTAAGCACTGGGGCTACAAAAAGAGGAAAAAGAGAGACCCTGCCTTCAATGAGTTTACAATCTAAGGGAATGATTTCATTCTGTAAATGAGCGAAGTCATAGATGGGACCAAAGCCAAAAACAAATAAACCAAAACATACCTTCCTTTCACAGCCTGCAGAGTCTGGAACACAATTTAGAACTGAGCTATAAAGGATTTTGTATCTCTCTTCATTCAAGTGTGTGTTTACACATCTTATTTCCCCAATGAGAAGATGTTTCTTAAAACCAGGATGAACAGGTGTGTAATATTACCTGTAGATAGGTGGGGTCTGTACTGCTCAGCCCACTGAGCCTTCCTGCCATTAAATGCAGTGTATGTTGGTTCTCAATGGGAATAGTAGAGTTTTTAACTCTGGTTGCAACTCAATGTTGCTTATCCTGGGGAAATTGTTCACTGTTTTTATTACATTCCTGTGGTTTCTCGTTTTATCAAAATATGTCACAACAGCATATGAGATGACTCTGGATTTAAACCCCATAAAAATCAAGACTCTAGAGTATGTGCTTTACAAACCTCAAAAATGTTTGCTTCTTCCACCAAACAAGTACAATAGATGCAAAGCAGGATTAAGGATGTATCCACCCAGAAGTGCATAGCTGTCTAGATCTCATGGGATTAGGGGTGGTTAGAAAAAAAGCCTTTAATAGATATGGCATCTCAGCAGTGGGGATGTATCCATGTTTCCCTTAGTTTTCTCATCTGTAAAATGGGGATTAAAAATAGCACCTAATTCCCAAGTTGTTGTCAGGATCAAATGAGATAATAATTGTAAAGTGCTTAACACAGTACATAACACATAAGAAGTGCTACATAAATGTTAGCTATTATTATTATTATTATTATTATTTCTTCCAGTGGGGCAGATCACAGGCCAGCCATGCTCTTCCTTTCTGTTTGATGATTGCTCCATCCTCCCATAAAGCCTTAAAAGAGAAGCCACTCTGTTCCCTCCAGGTATTGCTTTTAATACTTGGTGAATGCCAATAGAGAACTTAGGCTGTCTATCTATTATAACTTATTTTTGTGAGTTAACTGGTTTACTTCCTTTTATAATTACACATTTCCAGAATGGTCCCTTTAACTCCACTTCTTGAATGAAAATCCCCATCACGTTCTTTACAAAATCATCTAGTGTGAAAGTCTGACTTCATTCTCCCTAATATCTAGACTCGCCTGCTAAGCTTTTGAATTTTTCTAACCCTGAAGTTGTATTTATGAGTCAAGAGATTAGAAGAGAAGGAGCTAAGTAGATCCAGGATTCCATGAGATACCTGGCAGGCCTGAGTTGCTGAAGAAGGAGCTATAGCTTAAGCCCCACTACTGTTAGACAAAGAAAAGCCACAATCCCCTTTATTCCCTTGATCTAAGTAGGTAAAGGATTATGAGTTCCTTTTCTAGGCCTGTCTTGTACAGAAAAAAGAAAATTTTGAAACCTTAAGCAACAGAGTTTCTTAACCACTGACAATTCAACAGGGACTTTCATATTTGTAATTCTATTGCAGTAATGATATAATGTAAGTGTATTTCCACTTCAATGTATGGGCTATGAAGCAATTCCTTCAGAGAAACTCTAGTTTTGATATTAGTGCAACCTTGAAGCAGGGTAGCTTAAATATGGTCGTAATCTGGAAGCCTAAATAATAATAGCCAAGTTAATAGCCTTAAGGAAAGCACCACCCTTTGCTGGGGTGCTTATATAAATAGACAAAAGCAGGGTTTCTCTATTGAAGTATAGACTAGCCTTAGTAATTCAGATGAAACAGAACTTTATATTATTGAGGGGCAAAAACGAAATGGAGGATCTTACTGGCTCATGGCTACAATGACTGAGGTTTTCCTACTTCTGCCCAAGAGTGAACTCATCAGTAATATGTGCATTCCCTACAAAATATCTTATACATTAGGCCATGCTTCTGAGTATCCTCATGGCTGAGGCCAGATTACAACAAATC